AACGAGAAACAACACTTTGCTTCTTACTCCTCTAGGAGACCAGGTTACCTCCTACAAAAGCACAATATCCAGAGGTAGACCTTCTATCATCAATACTCCCAGCCYAATYARMMTYTGTWTAAACCTCTATCTTCATGTGATTATTATTCTTGAATAGTATACCTCTACCTGGGCACCTCTTCAAATATGTTAATATTCTCTCAATTGCAAGTGAGTAGTCCTAGGAGAGTGCATATACTGACTGACAACGCTGACCACGTAACTGATGTCCAGTCGTGTGAGACAAAGATAGAGGAGTTTTCCAACTAACCGCTGGAACATAGCTTTATCTTCAAATGGCTCTCCACCCTCTGCACTGACCTTGTGATTTTGTTCAATAGGTGTATATGTAGGCTTAACACCTAACTTTTCCAGTTTCTTCAAACAAATCTAGAACATACTTTCTTTGGGAAACAAAAATCCCATGTTTAGATCTAGCTACCTCAATACCCAAGAAGTATCGTAGCTCTCCCAGATCTTTCACCTCAAATTCTTGATAGAGTTGTTTGAGAGACTCAATCTCACCATTATCATTCCCTGTCACTACAATATCATCCACATATACAGCAAGCAAGGTCAAGGAAGAGTCCACTCTCTTAATGAACAATGTATGGTCTGATTGGGCTTGTACATAGCCGAACCTTTCAAGGGCTTGTCTGAATCTATCAAACCAAGCTCTGGGGGACTGTTTGAGTCCATACAAAGCTTTATTCACCGGCAAACCTTCTTTCCTGTGTTTGCATCATAAAATCCAGGAGGCAACTGCATGTAGACTTCTTCCTACAAGTCTCCATTGAGGAAGGCATTTTTAACATCCATCTGGAACAAGGGCCAAGAGTAACTGGCTGCAAGGGACAATAAAACTCTAATAGTGGTCATCTTTGCTACTGGAGCAAAAGTCTCCAAATAGTCTATACCATAAGTCTGAGTAAATCCCTTTGCAACTAACCGAGCCTTGTACCTTTCAATGGAACCATCAGCATTATGTTTCACAGTAAATACCCATCTACATCCAACTGGTTTCTTCCCTTTAGGCTGGTCAACTAGCTCCCAAGTATTATTCCTCAAAAGAGCATCCATTTCAACCCTCATTGCATCTTTCCACTTAGGAACTGACAAGGCCTCCTGCACTATTCTGGGGATAGGAATATCACCAATAGATGTGAGGAAGGACCTGTAAGAGGGGGACAAGTGATCATAGGACAAGAATTGGGAAATGCAGTGGGCTATGGATATGGTGCAACGCCGTTTGCCTTTACGGACTGCAATGGGGAGGTCAAGGTCATCCAAAGGAGGTAAGGGCTCAACAGTGGAATATCCCAGTGGAACCTAGATCTGATAAAGGAACTGTAGTACCTGGATCTGGATCTGCATAAGGACCTGGGGCTGGCCTGGACTGCTAATGACCGAAATCAACCTGCCTCCACCGCCTGTGATAGACTCTCAAATCCCGGCACCTCTGACACCCCTCCCCGTTACATCCCTCATCACTCAATGGAACAGGTAAAGGAACTTCTGATGAGTTAACCCCACACTCACTACTCTCCCTCTGAGGAGAAACCCTAGGATAATAGGGTACATCCTCGAAGAAAGTAACATCCATAGAGACAAATCTTTTCCCAGAAGTGGGTTCATAGCAGCAATATCCCTTTTGAGTTTGTGCATAACCGAGAAAAATACATTTGGAGGCCTTAGGATCAAATTTGGAACGATGAGGTCCAAGAATCTGAACAAAGCAAGTACAACCAAAGGCTTTAAGGGGAACAATAAATAAGTCTTTATCAGGGTATAGGAGGGTAAATGGAGGCTTCATGTAAAGAACCCGTGAAGGGACTCGGTTAATGAGATACACTGCTGTAAGAATAGCATCTCCCCATAAACGAATAGGCACATTAGAGTTAAACATGATGCTTCTGGCCACCTCCAATATGTGCCTATTCTTCCTCTCAGCAACCCCATTCTGTTGTGGTGTATGATGACAAGTACTTTGGTGGATAATCCCATGGTCAAGCAAATGAGAGACTAATTGGTTGGCAAAGTATTCTTTTGCATTATCGGATCTGAAGATTTTGATTTTGAAACCAAATTGGGTTAAAATCATCTGATGAAAGATCCGGGTCAAAGTAGGAACCTCATCTCGAAAACGCAAAAGGTAAACCCAAGAAAACCGGGTATAGTCATCAACAAACAACAAGAAATATCTGTACCCCCCTATAGCAGTGATGTGATAAGGACCCCAAACATCGATACGCACAATATCAAAAGGATTATTACTTCTTTTATTACTCAATGAATAAGATGTTCTACAATGCTTTGCAAGCTCACAACTCTCACATCTCAAATTGGACATCTAAACAGACTCAAATAAATCAGGAAACAAACTCTTCAAAGACCGAAAAGATAAATGACCCAACCGATTATGCCAAAGCATAACCTGACTAACAGACTAAGAAACAAAAGACTTCCTATCTTCACTATCTTCCAAATGTGAACTCTCTCCAAGCAGATAGATCCCATTCGTCTCACGGCCAGTCCCAATCACCTTCCTTGTCTCCAAGTCCTGAAAAACACATCGGTCAGGGAAAAAGGTTACTGAACAATTCTGATGTTTTGTAATGCTACTGACTGAAAGCAAATTAGTATTAAGCTTAGGAACATGCGGAACTGAAGATAAGGAGATGGCATTAGACAACTTGGTGTCTCCCTTGCCAGAAATGGAAACAAGGGAACCATTAGCAATTGACACCTTATCTCTACCAAAAGATAAGTGATAGGTAGTGAACAATGATGGCAAGCTAGTCATATGGTTAGATGCACCTGAATCTATTACCCAACAATGTTCAGTGTTACCTGGAGCTGAAGCATGATAAGCTGAGGCCCGAGTACCTGAATGAGCAAAAGCTGATGTGGGAGCTGA